AACTTGCTCAAAGGGGTCACTATTGCAGATGAACCTGTGGGCTGTGAATCCTGTCTCATGTGTAAAGTTAAGTAGGATTCAAAAGAAAAAAAAGGTGGAGGGAAAAACCTGAAGCAGATCTCAAGCATGCAAAGCAGCACATAGGTGATGGGACTGACTAGTAAGGGAAAATGTATCTTAGTAAAATAAGCACACCAGTGTGCATGCTGCATAACCACCAGCATTGGTCTGTGTTCTCTTTTTCTCATAGAAATCATACTACTCTGCATTTTGGCGTATCTACACTGCTGGCTATGCAGCATCAGTGACTTCACTCATTACAGCTCTAATTGTCTTTGCTGCCTTCAGGTAAAAAAAAAAGGTCTCTTTTCCAGGATGTCTTAAGATAGCCTCATCCTAATTCCTCTCAAACTCTCTGTGTTTTTGCATTGTGGGATTTTTTTATTATTATTTTCAAATCCTTCTCAGACATAACACCATTGAAGGCAATGGATCCTCCTCCATTCAAGTTGTAGCATTTCCCTGCAGATGTCAAAACAATAAAGCTGACTGGGCAGTCTGTCTTAGTCTCTTTAATGACACCAAAGAGTGGAAATGCTCCAACCTGTTGTCACTATTAACATGACGTAACTATTCCTCCAGTGAGTAGCAGAACATATGCTGCAGAAACCGAGTAGCTCATGCCCTTGAATGAGCAGTAATTCTAAACTGTTCATTCCCTCTGTGAAAGACCATTGCTTTCGTAATTGGGAGCTATAGAAAGAAATTTGAAGAAATTTAAATGTCATGTTTAATGATGTTGGATATTAGGAAATGGATCCTGCTTTTGATTGGTTCCAATGCACTTGGACAAAAACCTTAAGCTTACTCTGCAGACAGGAATGCAGAGCACAGAAGCAACTTCCTAACTGGAGTGGATTGGCAGTCTCAAATGTTGTATCACTTGCAGAGGTCCTCAGGACCAAGAGGTTGATATGTTCAAACCGTGAAGAAGATTCCTTTGGCTCAAGGTAAAACTGTAGACAGGGTAATCTAAAGAGCGTAGAATCATCAAGGTTGGAAAAGACTTTTAAGATCATTGAGCCCAACGGTTAACCTAACACTGCCAAGTCCACCACTAAACCGTGTCCCTAAGCACCACATCTACACATCTTTTAAATGCCTCCAGGAATGATGACTCAACCACTTCCCTGGGCAGCCTGTTCCAATGCTTTCAATGAAGGAATTTTTCCTAATACACAAACAAAACCTCCCCTGGTGCAACTGCAGGTCATTTCCTTTAGTCCTTTTGTTACTTGGGAGAAAAGACCAACACACACATCCCTACAACCTCCTTTCAGGTAGCTGTAGAGAGTGATAAGGTCTCTCCTGAGTCTCCTTTTCTCCAGGCCAAACAACCCCAGCTCCCTCAGCTGCCCCTCATAAGACTAAAGCAGCCTTGGGTAAGGCAGCCACTTCTCTGGCAGCCATCCCACAACATACAACTGACATTCATTCAATGCTCTCTTCTCCTCTGGCCAGAAAAGGGCTGAAGAACCTGTTGCAAGTTTGTTCAACACAAAATGTTACTGAGAATAATTAAAAAGCATTATTGCAATACAACCCAGGAGTCCCACAGTTACTCTCTGCTTCTGACATCTCTTTTAAATGTGTGGTGATTCAAGGACTAGCACTTCTATTAGTTTAAACAGGTAATAACTGCTCTGCTCCCTTATGTCTAGCTCCCTCTCAAATAGTGACAGATCATTTATTTGCTTTGGAAGATGTCTGCAGTCACATGTATTCCTGTTTGAGTTTTGATGACACCATGAGAAATTTCTCTTGAAGAACAATTTTTATTTTCTTTTTCCATGTCAGAAAATTCCACTGTACACGGAATTACATCCATATGCACCTGTTTGTCTCCTTTATCCTGAGAGCAATTGCGGTTTTCACCAAAGATGCTGTTTTGTTTGCAGATGAAACTATGGACCACTGCCTAATGTCAACGGTACTAAACTTCCTCTCTCTCTTATCTTTGATTTAACATTTAATTCTTTACCTGAAGAGAACATGGAGATTTCTTAATCCCATTTCTCTTTAGTTTTAAAACTGAAACCTTAAAACAAACAATACTATACAAATCCAAAGATCAAGTACTATGGTTACATTCAGCTTTGATATATAAGGTACTGGTCTATCGACTCTAATGAAACTGCAACAATTTCTATCAGTAAAGAATTTCATCTATTAGAGAGGGCTAATGTTTCCCCTTCAAAAAACTAAAGCTAATTGAAATTATGGAATACGAAACCTACTGAAATCTTGCAATAATTTCTTCATTCTTATGTGCTAACATTGAATTTTGCCTATACTTGTAGAGAAACCAGGCACAATGGAGAGTAGAACAAATAGTTTTTTCTTCCTCTGCACTTTCAGGTTGCTTGTAAGGCTGCTGTGGCATTCTTCCAGTTCAGTATTTTAGCCAATTTCTTCTGGCTTCTTATAGAAGGGATATACCTGCAAACTCTGCTTTTGCTGACCTTTGTTTCGGACAAGCAGTATGTGTGGTGGTTCGTATTTACTGGCTGGGGTTAGTATTCTTTTCTTCTTTGTGTTATTTAGTATTTCCATTTACTTTCAGTACTAGATAAAATATTTGTTCTGAGATAAAAGGTGCCTATCAAAGGTGCCATCTTTCTGAGAGAAGTTGCCCATTCATCCGCTACTATTGCATCAAAACCATACTATTATACTGTCTGCCTTCTTATCTTATTGGATATTTATACCGTTCAAAACTTTGAAGGAAAGGATAGGATGGATTACTAGAAGCACTACGATACGCCTACTTGAAAAATTACAGCATTCATCTTTATGATTGGAAGTAATTTCACGCAACTACAGTAATTTAAAAGCTAACCATCTAACCTAAACTATCTCTCCAGGTTTCTCCTGCAGTCAGTAGAGTGAGGTATGCATGCTGTGGTGGTGATTAATCCAGTCCTCAAGAAGATGAGTAATGTGGTTGGATAACATCCTGGAAACATGTTGCCTTCCTCCACTGACTAAAGAAGTTTGGGTGACTAACATTTAAGTTGACATTTTGCTTTTATTAAGCAGAATTAGATAGACTAATCTTAAATCATGTGAGTTCAGGCCTAGGGATCAAACCAATCTATTTTTTTTCAGAGAATTTCTGGTTTTAAGGAAACTTTTGAGCTTACACAGCAATTGGAATTATCTCTAATTTTCAGAATATGTGCATGTAGTACGTAAAATTTTTTTCACTGCAGAGAAGTGTTTATTGTGACTATCAGGTATTCCTGTACATCACCTTGACTATTCTAAAATAGAGATATTCAAATAGAATAGTTATATTGACATTTTTTACTTAGGAGTGAAATCCAAATTCTCCTGAAGTAAATAATAATTTATCCTTCATCTTCAGATTCTCAGACTTTTTTAAATGCAATTAAATATTTGGAGCTATTCCAATTATGATTGCCTGAAACTGGATGCTTAGGCCTTGATTAATCACAGCTAACTTGAGATAACAAAGGAAACATCTCAATTAGTAATGCGGTAATTCTTATCTCCTTCTATAATCAATGGAAAGTGAGAGATATCTCAGGAGTAACTCAGATCTCAGGTGATATGGTTGCAAATATTTCTCTTCATTAGCTAAAAAGACAACTTGAATTGAATATGGTCCCATCTTAAAGGACTTGAACAAGGGTTTAAAATTAAGAAGGACAACTTCTGGACCTTTCCTACAGATTTCAAATGATACCTAGAAAGATATTACGTGTATTTCTATGGATTTATCAGTGAAAATGCTATCTGCTTCAGATTACAGTCCCTTTTGTGGCAGCTTTGAAAGTCACTTAGTCTTTGGAAATTCAATTCCACGGAAGGAGAGCAAAAGCTATTGTTAGTTTATAAACCTGCTTGAAAAAAAAAAAGGAAATAGCTATTCAGTCATAAATGTAGAAGGATAAGCAGTGATAAAGTGAGGCTAGAAATCACCAGTTCCTGGGATTAGGTAAATTTTCATGGAATGCTCATCAGCTAATGGGTCTAGAGGGATTAGCAGAGGCTCCTCAGAACAAAAATGTGAACTCTTCCAGCTAGTGTACAAAGAGTTGTATGTTGGCCACAATTCACAAGACAGAAGAGCTCTAGCTAAATAAATGATTCCTCCTGCTTCACAAGTGCTTGTAATTCATATCCAAACCTTCAAGTAATTCTTATCTGTTATTTTTGAAAACATAGTTTCACAGCATCCCCTGTTCTCCTTTGTTTTGATTTCATTCTCCTGCCTTTTTTTGTTGTTTCATTTTTCTTTCCCTGAACTGCAAGTTAAATTCTTTCATAAAGTTATTTAAAATTGTCTGACCCATTGTTTGATCTTTAATGTACGTCCAATCTGCTGCACTGTGAGCCTTCTTGGAATAAAATTTCCATGGGTCACGGTATTCAAACCAATTACATTGTGTTCCATGTTAATTTATCCAGGAGCTCCCACTGCTGTGATGTTTGCTTGGATCCTCACAAGAATCCATCAACAAAATACTGGGTAAGTCAGAGCTTGGATAAAGAATGCAAGGTATTGTATTTTGATTTTCTGGTGGGGAAAAAATAGATATAAAAACTAGAAAAGAAAAAAACTGTTCCAAAGTTGTGCCTTTAATCTTTACACTTCATATGCAAGTAAGTGAGAAAAGAGTTCTAAGTCTTCTGATTTTGATCTGTGTATATGGAGTAATAAAACCTGGAAATATCATAGTAAGTATTGAAATTTCATTTAGTTTCCTAGTGCCCATAATAATAATAAATAATAAATTATAATATTTTAAGGAAGTCACTGTTTCTGTATAAAATCTGTCATAAATTACTAACCCTAATCTCTTCAAGTAAGTACCTCCCAGACATCACATTATGTCCTGATAAGTAGTTTCTTTCATTCCCATTCAGTTCTTTGATTCTTTTTTTGTTTATATATTTTAATATGAGAACCAGGTATAAAGCAGATGATTGTTTACTAAAAGTTGCCCTGAAGGCCTTCAAGTCATTCCACATGGATGATCAGTTGGAAACAATATTATTTTACATCTGCCTGCTCAGGAATCACATTAATGATGTAGAAGCAGTAAGTTCTATGGTCCACCACATTTGGCACATCCTATTTTCCTTTCTTCATGTTACTGGAGAACATCTGCAGAATAAGTTCTCCACTGTAATGTTTCATAAGTGGAAGGAATCTACCTTTCCACACCATGTACTTCTTTTTGAGGCCTGCAGAGGTGCAAGGAAGATTTCATTTTTCCTCTATTCCCACTGCTTCTCTTCCAAAGAATTATTGGTTTATCTATTGGTTCTGTAGCAGAGGGATCTGGCACAAGATACTCAAGTTACACAGAGAGATGAGAGAAAGGTGGAGAGGGGGAACAAGAGCTCTGACAACTTCTCACAGCCTTAAAGAGGGGGCTGAAAAGTGTCTGAACTTCAGGTGCTCTTCCAGCAAAACGCCTACCTGCTCAGTTTACTTCTCTGATGTATATTAGACGTCCACTTTAAAATAAGATTAATTGTGTCCTTCCATATTGATCTACTTTGACTGCAAAAGAAATGTAGTTGAATAGATCCAATGAAGACATCTACAGAGTCAAATGAATCTCACTGCAAATCTTCCATTCATTTGGTTGCTCTTCTAATATCAGATATATAAGCAAACTATAGTATCAGAACCACTCATCTTTTACCTAGTAGCCTGGTAAATGGGAAATCCAAGTTCTTCAGACACAGCTGGTCTGGACTCACATTCCTCACATTACAAAGATACACCTTACACTCAGACATGATGGGACATGTCACCGTCTGTAAGATTTATAGTTATGCAGCCAAATATCCTGTCTCACAAAACTGGAAAATACAGGAAGAGGGAGCATGATATAGCCTAACAGGTATAGCACTTGACTGGAGGGAGTTAAACTGAAGTGTTATTGATGTTAAATACTTGAACAGCCTCAAAAGAGGGACCAAAAGCCCTTCACGGTACCTTTACTAGGGCTCTAGATTTTTCTTGCCTATTCCGTCATGACCCCAAAGTCATTACATTTGTGGATGCACAGTAGTCTCTGATCTGTACTCCATAAACCAGGCCTTTTTTCAACAGAAGAGCAGGAAAGAAACTTGAAAATGTAAATGTGCGTTTCTTGACTTTGCTTTGGTTCTTACTGAATAAATGTCCTTTAGGCTGGGCTACACAGAAACTTTTAGAGAGGTATCAGAGTACCAGTACTGGCAGGGGCCTTTAAATAATGAGTTTAAACTTAGTGCCCATCACTTTCCTCTTCTGTGACAGAAATACTTTCATGTGTTGTGGAAAACTCACATGGGACATACAGCATGACTGGTTTTGTTTGCTGTTTCAGATGTTGGGACGATGATGAAAATGGAGTGGTGCTATGGATCATCAAAGGCCCCATTCTGCTAAGTGTATTAGTATGTTTTTTCATTTTGTCTTGGGTATCTTTAGAAATGTGAAAGCTAAGTTAGTGTCTCCTTTCAGCAAGCTGGGAGAAAAGCGATAGCACACGCTATGATATTGGATTTCAAATAGCTGGAAATAATTATATAGCGATTGGTGGTGGTGGTGTTTTCCTTGGGTTTTTTCCCCCCAAAACACCATAAAAACACAACCTAAAGAGTAAATCCTGTATTTTCTAGAGTCATGCTAGGACATAATGGAATCATCTTGACACCTGCATTGCACATACCACAGTCATGTCTGTGTCTCTGTAAGTCATTTCCAAAGAAAGGCAATCCATACTGGCAAGATTCTTAGGTAACACGAAGTTGTTTTAATACAAGAAATACTTATAGATCATTTTATTTAGTATATTTTTTAAATGAGTTCTTAGGTTGTAAACTTAAGACAAAAGATCTCCCTTATGCATACATTTATTCCATCTAAATTTAGGGAGGAAACAGTATGTTATTTAGGTCTGTATCTGTTATGATCCCTGTCATAAACACTGAAGGGAACAGGGAGGGACTATTTAGACCATGTAAGATCTGCTGACAACAAGTACAAGGAGTTAATATCAGACACCAAATTGTGTTGAGATGTGTAAGTCTATATTAATTCAACATAACTTTCAGAATATCTTTATATATAACTATGTATTGGTGGGAAAAATGAATACTATTTCTAATTATATTGATTTGATGTGAGAGTAGATCTGCATTGGTTTATAGCAGTGCAATTCCTATGACTGGTTTTTTTTAATTAATTTGTATCACCTGAAGATACGTCCTGATCTGTAGTAAGTTTACAGATTTTTCTTGTCTTTTCAGATTAACTTTATTATATTTATTAATGTGATCAGAATTCTAGTCCATAAATTGAAATCTCAAGATGGAGGGGGGAGCCATCCAAGCCACTTTGTGTAAGTATTTCTGGGTCACTTGATATCAACCCATTTCAGTTACTATAAAAAATGTTTTATGGGCAGGAGCACAAAATGTTCTACTCCTTAGTAATAGAAAGAGAAATCTCCAGAAGAAATAACAATGTAAACTTTCCTTTTCATCCCAAATACGACACCTCTTTCTTCAGGGAGAGAAGGGTGGGGTGGACGTGTTGGGGACAATGAAAAAAGTAATGTATAAAGTATTACAACTCCAAAAGACCCCGGCTTGAAAGTGTAAGCACTAAATGTCAGGTAATGTATCCATCTTGCTTCCAGTCTTTTCCACACAAATGGTCACATAGAGAAAAATGCAGATAATTTCATTTAAATTTTTAGCAGTAACGTGATGCTGATGTTCTGGTAACTGAACCTAGTCCTTCCTGTTTACAATCGCCTTCACAATTAATGGGGATCACAGCAATGCAATCGGAGGACTCTAGCAAGCTATTTAACTCATCCTGACATATGTAGGTATGGCTGTTAGTTACGGCACAGGACCTACCGTAAACATGTGCCCTTCTGGAGTGAGCTGAAGGCCAAGCAAAATACCTTAGGACATCACCAGTGGCTGTCATACCACTATTTAAGCAACTGAATCAAGTCCTATGGACAGTGATGATTAGATCTCCATTGACAGTTTTGTAAGTTGAAACACTTCTGTGAGGCATAACTACATGTGACTGAGATTAGTCTTAGGAGAGTAGATCACAGTACTTAGTTTGATGCCCCTGTTTTTGCATGTATAGCAGGGAGAAGAACACTTAAATGTCAATCCAGAAAAGTTGCATGCTGATTTCTTCATCTTTGTTCACTAAGTGTTGATGGTGGGAGTGGCAGAAAGCAATCTTTCTATAACTTCATTGGATATAGTTGCCTCTATTATGGAGCAGTCCTTGACATTAAAATTTGTTCTAACATACAATTGATATCAGTGATTCCGTATTTCTAACAGTGCATTGTTCTTTAATTCTCGGTTTGCCAGGAGACTTGCTAAATCCACGTTACTCTTAATCCCCCTCTTTGGAGTGCACTACATTGTATTTGCATTTTTCCCAGAAAGCACTGGACTGGAAGCTCGCCTTTATATTGAGCTGGGCTTGGGCTCTTTTCAGGTAAGCTGGACAAAATGTTTATCGATCCTAAGAGGCTTGATTTGAAACACCACATTCTCAGGAGTTTTACATTTCAGGTTGGTTATTACAGCAGGTGTTAATAATGTGTCTAAATTCAACACACACATTCCGGCTAACTCCTTCACAAACTCTTTCTGTTGTCTGTTCCCTTATCTTGTTGTTTGAAATTTCACAATACTTTTGAGTTATGACTCAGACTTCATATTAATAATAATAAAAAAACCTAAACAATATCTACGTTTATTCAATAACAATCACACAGTGCCATAAAGATCAGTCTATGGATTAAGGTGAACTGAAATTAATTCCACATGTAATAAAGGTGATGATAAGAAGACTGAAAAAATAAGGATAATATTTAACAACCTATTCCACCCTTACCATTTAGCGGTAGAGAATCCATCATGTTAATACTTCTTTGTTTCTTTTATTTTGCTATACCACTGTTCAGAACAATATCTTGGATTTGAGAGGGCCAGGGACTGGGTATGGTACACTTTGTAATAAATAACTGAAGTCTTTTTCCTTCCCTTTTCCCCTTTACCCCACAACAGCTTGTCCACATTGTCATGTGTTGAAAATGATCCCTCTTCCATGCTTACCTCTCAACCATGGCTGGAGTCTGTTAAGGAAAATGCTTGCTGGCCCAGGCCAAAGCTGTGTCATGGACCATGTTGATGTTTTAACAACATATAGAAGTAAAGGCCAGTATTCAGGGCTGTGCCTTGTTCAGTTTACAAATACGGATGTAGTCTAGCATGGTCCAGTGCTTGCTTGTGTTAACACAGACTGTGAAATGGCTTGGCTCCCAACTAACACACCCCCAAAAAATGCCTGACTGTAGTTCTGGGTGAATACGAACCCAAGACCTTTCCCAATAGGCTGAACACAGGCATCCTTTTGTGAGTAACAGAAGATAGTTTAGCAGTAAAGATGCAAAACAAGAGCAGGTTCTCACTTAGTTTATTCATTCCTGTAAATAAAGACTAGAAAAAGACAAAGATCCCTACTACCTTGTCTGAGGGAGAACTTTTTTGTAGGATACAGTAAATGGTAAGTTAGTCCTTAGTGTCTCTGTACAAGGGCAACAATATACATATAGTGTCACCAGACCATTGAGGATAATCCTGTTATCAAAACCCAGTAAATAGTGCGATATCAACTAAATTCCAATAGAACAATGGAAAACACATATTTTTTTTTGCTGTCTAACTAAAATTTTGAATGAAACCTGATATCTTTCTCTGGTTCTATGCTTTAAATCCTGATGGTTGGCTTTTTTCTCCCTTCCTTCCCTGTCCTAGGGTTTTGTTGTTGCTCTTCTGTATTGCTTCTCAAATGCAGAGGTGAGTGGCAAGTACATAAGATTATTAAAACCTTTTAAACTCATGGGCCTCTCTTGTTTTTCTTTTCTTTTTTTTTTTTTTAAATTTCCAGAACAGATCTGTGCTTTGATCTGCTCCTGAAAGCATGAAATGCCCATATCTTTTTTTCCCTTGGTACTTTCATTGACTTTATTTGCATTCATACAGTTCTGACAGAAGGACACAAATAAGCTTTGAAGAAATGACCCTTTATAAGTGGTTGGTGACTTTCCTGTCAGGGGACTTTTTTTCTACTTTATGTCTGATAGCTATCATGATGATGTCTCAATGGAAAACTTTTAGCACTTCTTACTTTAGGTTTATTTTCTCCTAGTGAGTTTCTTTCCCTTTCCCTTTCCCTTTCCCTTTCCCTTTCCCTTTCCCTTTCCCTTTCCCTTTTCCAGGGCAGCCTGTGCATTTTCAGTAGTTTTGTTCAAACATTTTCTTTCCCATTTTTGTAACTTTGTTGGAATTTGGATAAACTCCCTGTAGTAAATTTTAGGGAGCCTATCATTTTAAAACCTAACTAAATTTGCTTACACTTTCCCCAAAAGAGCAGAATGAATCAAAAGCCATGCAAAAATGTAGAAACACAATTCATCCTCAGAAAAATATGTAGATTAGGTGAGACAAATGACCCACTAATGGTGCCTCAGTCTCCCCACTAGCTTAGACTGGATGCTTCTCATAGGGGTGGCTAAATGTTGGTGAAATTAGTCTTACTCGAGGATGAATAATGCCTAAAATATATTTGTTGTTTAGGACCTGGACAGACTGAAAAGTTGAGTGGAGAGGAACCTGAGGAAGGTCAACAAGGGCAAGTGTAGGGTCCTGCACCCAGGGAGGAATAACCTCAGGCACTAGCACAGGCTGGGGGTTGACCTGTTGGAGAGAAGCCCAGCGGAGAAGGACCTGGGAGTCCTGGTTGATAACAACAAGTTGACCGTGAGCCAGCAATGTGCCCTTGTGGCCAAGAAGGCCAATGGTATCTTGGGGTGCATGAAGAAGAGTGTGGCCAGCAGGTTGAGGGAGGTTCTCCTCCCCATCTACGCTGCCCTGCTGAGGCCTCATCTGGAGTACTGGGTCCAATTCTGGGCTCCCCAGTTCAAGAAAGACAAGTAAGTACTGGAGAGAGTCCAGCGGAGGGCAACAAAGATGATGAGGGGACTGGAGCATCTCCCTGATGACTAAAGGCTGAGAGAACTGGGTCTGTTCAGCCTGGAAAGAGAAGACTGAGAGGGGATCTCATCCATGCTTATAAATACATCAAGGGTGGCTGTCAAGAGGATGGGGCCAGACTCTTTTCAGTGATGTGCAGTGACAGGTTAAGGGGCAACGGACACAGACCGAAACACAGGAAGTTTCATCAGAATAGGAGGAAGAACTTCTGTACTTTGAGGGTGTCAGAGCACTGGAAAAGGCTTCCCAGAGAGGTTGTGGAGTGTCCTTCTCTGAACATATTCAAAACCCGCCTGGACGCATTCCTGTGTAACTTGCTGTAGGTGAGCCTGCTTTGGCAGGGAGGGTTGGACTAGGTGATCTCCAGAGGTCCCTTCCAACCCTGATGGTTCTGTGATTCTGTGTGAAAATAATTTACAGTGGCCATTCTAGTGCTGTTCTAAGAGAGTGCCTTCAAGACTAACTGTAAATACCGCATGCTTTACTTCCTACCCACCTTCTGTCTGCATAGACTCCTTGCCAACAGCCTTTAAATAGTTTGCATATTGTATCTCACAACACACATATCTACTAGGTGTTAAAAAAAGGACTGGCAGAGGGTGATCTCTGTCTCCAAGATTAAATGGTATGAGTTGGCTTGTGTCCATGCTGCATAGGGATAACTGCTTCTGGAGCAGATTTGCCACTTATTACAACTTGGCAGTGCATCTGCTGTGGTTCCCTGCAAACATCAAAAATAATTATTATTTTCTGTGTGTGTGTGTTTCCTCAGTTTTAAATATCTGAACAATGTGAGAGACTGTGCTGCTACCAAGCAAGGTGGTGTCTGTATGGGTTGAAACTGAGGGCTGACATTGTACACAGGAGTGCTGATGGGCCTTGAGCTTTCTGGGATAGTATTGGAGTACTGGGTTGATGGAGAAAGTCCCTGTTTTACTTATTATAGTTTTGAAAGCTCCAGAGGGCATGTTCTATCTGTCCTTGAAGTTGCACACAGGGGCTGATAAAAAGGCAGAATAGAGACCAGCTCAATGATAAATATTGCCAGTGACTTTCAGGGAGCCCTGATGTCCAAGATGTACTTCTGCATGTCCCACCCTCTTTTCTATATGTCACTGTAGAGACAATATTTAATAAAGGATTAGATAACAGAATTACTAGATGAATTCTTAAGTTCATAGCACTTAAATCACATTTGTCCATACATAGATCCACTGTAAGAGTTAATAGTTTCACATAACAGTTTATTTCTGAGTTTAATTTGGAGTGGGTTTGTGCTGATGGTGCTACAACTAGAACACTGTCGTAGATTTTCAGCACTAATGACAGCCACAGAAGATGGCAGCTATGTGGTTAGAAGCATTTGACACGTCTTCTTAGTTTAGGATGGCGTTTGTAAGTCACTTTGTAGACATTCAGGAGAGCCACCCCCCTTGCAGGAGAAGCAGATAGAGAAGAAGCTGAATGTGAACAGAGGTAACAGGGAACAGCAAGCAATTAATCCATAGGAGCAGACTGTTATGTGAACGGTGGCAAGGACTGGGTGTTTCCTGCACCTACTTGCACTCCCTCTACTACAGCGTTGAGTGTGAGCTGCTTTATGTAGGGCAATAGAACCTACTTTCCCCCTGTCCCCTCACCCCTGTCCCAGTAGTGTCGATAGCAGGCCGTGAAACTCCAGAGTTGTTCAACCTACCTGTTAGGTGTGTGTCAGATGGTAAAAAAATCAGGTTTTTGTATGCTTTTGAGGATCTCTGAGACCTCTCTCAAATGTAATATGTATTCAAGTTGATTCAGTATCTTTCAGTGTCAGAAAGGGATCTTTAAGAGGGATTTTAATCTGGATAAACTGAAAGCCTGGAGAAGGACCCTTACTGTACATAGCAGGTCACAGCAAGGAGGCACAGAAGATTCAGTATGAGGAAACATAGAAATTATACAAAAAGGTAGAAATATTTATGAAGCAGACCTACAACAATAAACAAAGAAATTGCAATCAAAAACTTCCCTATCATGCTCTGAATTTTGGAAATTAAGTCTGTTTAGTTTCAAAAGTGAATAGGGACATAGTTTAAGTTCTTCTAAAAATATGTTAAGGCTTAATCCTGACTGATCTGGTGCCTTTGTGCATCTGGGCCAAGTAGTCAGGCAGATATTTTGGCATATTTTACTTTCAATGTCCCCATAATTTAATTTTCTCGTTCTTTGTTTTTAAATTCCTTTTCTATAGGTTCAAAGTGAACTGAAGAAACAACTGTGCAAATGGCAGTATCAAGAGTACCTGAACTTCACACATAAACACAGGACTTTGTCCAGAGAAAACAGTCCAGTCAACTATGTCACTCAGTTATCACTGCTTGAAAAAATTAGTCCAAAAAGGAAAACTTCTGTATACCAGAATGTCATAACTTCTGTCTGAGCTTTTCTAGCAGGATGATTGTAACATACTACCTGAGAGATGGTCAGCTTGGACCCTTTATGGCTTTCCATAGTGTCAAGAACCTTCTGTGAATTTCTTGTCCCGAATGTGAACTGCTTTTCTTGCCCAGTACAGATCACAACCCTGGTTTCTCTCTCTCCTTAAGCATATAAAATCACTTGTTTTGTTGTGAAAAGTCAGACCTTGAGCTAGGGTGAATCAACAGGCTATCACTCAAAAAAAAAAGGAACTACATTATCTCCTCCCAAGCCCAGAATGTTTGTCATGTATTTCTCAGTGTTTCCTGAAATTTCCAGTTTTCAAGAGCACTATTCCTAATCTTCATTTGAAACAGTTATATGGTCACAAACTTTTGCCATAATAATTAGTGATGTTTTACTAGCTGTTTTGAGAGAACTTGAGCCAGCTTAATGGGAATTACACACAGAAACTTGCTAAGCACCTACCTATGGAACGGCAACTTTCTTTAAAAGGAATCTCAAGGTGTCTCAAGACTGACACAAAAAAAGAATTATTTACATTATCTGCTTGGGGTTTTTTCTTCCATGCCTGTTGAACAGAGAGATTAAATTAGACCAGAGGACCCAAAGCCCTTTCTTGTCTGTGAGAAAACATGGTGTAGCTGAACATTAGGCAGATTATGTGCTTAAGAGGGAAGAAACTAGAGCAAACTCAGTGCAGTATGCCGAATGGGCTACCTTGAGCTCAGAATAACCTACAAATCCGGTCTTAGTGCCCAGACACTGGTACTTGCGTAGCTGGAACAGACCTTCTGCCACCATAACCTTGAAGATTGGCTGGATCCATCAATGAAATACACAATTACACTGTGCTTTTGTGCTTTTTTAGGGACCTCCCTTTGAGGATTAATCTGCCGTGATTGCTGTGATTATCTCGGTCCTGCCCATCATTTCTCAGTTCATTGTCACTCCACTCAGTGAAGTTTCTGGGGTCAGAATTATCAACACAGCAGTGTGGTCTGGAGAAGCAAAGTATGGTCTAGTAAAATAAAGTGAACCAATGTTGTGCTTGCATCACTTTGGGTGGCCTTCTTCTTTCTTCAGGACTGAGTTGGACTCTACCTCAAACTCTCCAAAAGTAAAGAAAGGGCACACAAGATACACTAGACACAGCTATAGTTCCTTTCAAGTTAGGACCATTCCCAGGAGAACCTGCATTCAGACTTGAAAGCACGGCTGGTTATCATGGCCATTCAAGTAGATACTGACCTTTTGTGAACTGCAGTATCAGTTTACCTTTAAAAAGTAGTACTTCCATCCCTCATTTTGCTCTACTCTTGGTTAATTTATTAGGTCAGGAGACCTTTGACTTCATAGAAACCTTTGTTGCTTTTAGGTTCTTCATCTCTATTTCCATTATTACAGCAGAGTTGAATTGTCCAGATTTCTATAAATATGATTCACATCAGTCCTTTTTATATATACATATATCTCTAT